ACCTTTGTCACCGCCTATTCATAGTGCCAAACAAGTTTGATTTCTATCTTTGGCTTCCAAACTTTGCCATGCCGTTATTATTGATGCTCCATACTTGACATTTTCAAGAAATCGCACTTTAAATAGTAAACTACCTGCTTTCTTGGTAGTTTTCAAGTTCTTAGTGCATCCGTAACATTGGTTACTTTCGACAAGGGATGGAATCAGTAACAACTGATGTTTAAAACCACTTTGAACTCGAAGCATCTGTGACTGACGACAAAAAGGAAACTTTCTTCATTATTTCAAAATGTACCTATATGTATATTGGACCAGCAACGGTACCAACAATTTATTATACAGTCTTTATACACAGGGTGTCCGCAAAGTTGGGGTTTTCCTTTACACGACGCGTAGATCTTGAAAACATGAGCAATTTTTCTTAGTACCATATACACCAATGTCTTAAGGGAACCGAGATAAAGGGCTGTGTAACATCAAAAATATCTGAATACCGTCCTGTAGCCGCGACCCGCGACATCACCGAGTGTTACAAGGTCACTGGCTCAACCCGACGACAGAACTGGGTCGGGGTCAGTGTGTCAGGTCAGTATGCAACCTTCAACCGACATTTACGGTCACGCGTGTAGAGGTAATCGCGTAGACGAGAATCCCTCAACAAGCACTAGAGACGTGGCTAGAGAAGTGCAAGTATTAAAAACTAAAGTGTGGCAAACGCTGCGTGAAGAGGGGCTGTATCCGTTTCACGTCCAACGTGTACAAGCCTTCAACCTGACGATTTTCCAGCAAGAGTGCGGTTTTGTGAGTGGTTGTTGCATCAACATGACAATAATCCGGACTTTTTGAAGTGCATATTGGTGACAGACGAATCTACGTTCACGCGTAATTGGGTGAATAACTTTCGCAACACTCATGTTTGGTCAGTAGAAAATCCGCACGCTGTCCGTCGGGCACATTTTCAACAAACATTTTCGGTGAATGTTTGGGCTGGCATGGTGGACGGTATGCTCATTGGACCATTTATTCTCCCAAATCGATTGGACGGGATGCAATACCTAGACTTTTTACGCAACATTTTGCCTTCCTTGTTAGAAGATGTGCCATTAAGTGTAAGACAATCAATGTGGTTTCTGCACGATGGTGCACCGCCCCATTTTAGACGCTAAGTGCGTGAATTTTTGAATGAATTATTTCCGAATAGGTGGATCGGACGAACTTCGTCACAGAATTGAACAAGCTGGTGCTTTCATTCGGGGGAGGGACTCCATTCTCAAAGCCTGCACCGATGCTTGGCTACGTCGTGCACGCACCTGTGTTTTTGAATCAAACGGCGATAACTTCGAACAATATCTATAAAGTACGTTTACCTAAAGACTGAAAACGCGGCAACGCCGTCATATTTGTTACCTCTGTTCGTGGTCTGCACCACCGCCTGCGTCTGCTCAGTAGCGATAGCGGTAGCGCTGATTTCATTTTCTGTTGGAGCGGTATGATTTCGGGCAGAGACGTACTTAGCCCTTCTCAACTGGAGAGTGAGTACTTTTTCCTTTATTTTTTTTTTACTTGGTCGCCCTCGTTTCACTACATTACCTTTGTTATTTCAAGGGTAGTTGTTTCTGAAAAGGAAAACCCCAACTTTGCGGACACCCTGTATTTAAAGATTCAAGCTTACTAAACATTCTATACGTATTTGTGACCTATAAATATGTAAGAGCCAAATTTTGCTTCGCAGATGTTTCACATTCGATGCAAAATATATGCAGCACGGCTTTTACATCAACATGCGAGACCCAGCTTTCGACTACGTTGGCGCCGAGGAATTGGAATTAGAAGGAAGAGGAGCTAATCAAGAGGAGAACGAGTACAGAGAAAACCCTAGAGGCATAGTGCCAATATGGCGTGCAAGGTTAGTATATTGAGTAAGATATTAATAGCACTAGTCTTACATGTAAAGAGAAAACTACTCATTTCTGATAAGTTATACGCCAATCAGCCATTACAAAATTTAGAGTCTGTTTTAGAGACGTTCCTCGAGTGCTGAGTACCGTTTGAGGGTTGATTTATCATTAGAAATAATGCCACAGTAACGGTTCCTTGAGGGATTTTCAATAGAGGATTGAACATTTGGTTTTAACAGTAGGCTGCAACAGATGACATCACAGGCTGGCATTGATGTCAGAAAGATTTTTCTTAGCCGGTCACATTTATCTGGCATTGTGTTCATAAATTTGGGACGGATGGTTTATCTGTGCCACAAATATTGCTTAATAATGCAAAATAGGAATGTCATTGATTTCTTGAGTATATAGCGGAATCGCAACTAGATCACGTCTGTGAGATTTATCGTACAGCCTTGGTACCACAGATTAATAACTACACTACTTAGTAGCTTGGTACATACAGTATTTCAAAGAACAATTAAATCTTTCATAATGTGAAATACCGAAATTAAAAAGAAATTTAGACCTATAGTGTATTTCCTTTGTAGGTCAATAACTGAGTACAAGACTGAGCTGCTGCCACCTGAGCCAGTACCGCTTCCAGTGAAGGAATCAGTGGAGTCCATGATCGATATTATCGACTATCTTCAAAAGCAGTACGAAGTGGAAGGCTATCAAGTGGAAGAGGAACACAAAGCTACCCCGTCGCCGGTGCCAGCGGAGCTGGAAGTTGATATACCGGATATTGACTTTGATATTTGAGTTGTTGTGTACCCGCGTATCAACGTCGTTTGTTTTTAGAATTTAGCGTTATTGGAAGTCAAATATAATTGTTGACAATGTGTCTTTGTGATGATTTTACATGTCTTCCGCTGTCATTGATATCAGCTTGACTGGTTCAAATGAATTTCATTAGAATCTGGATTATCAAAGATACAAAAAGCTTTCAATCAATATCCAAATGTGGAGATGTGGTAGATAAACTGTATTTGCTATGCTACAGCACCAGTTGCAATTACCTTTTAATGCAAACAGTACAACTATCCTCACAGTACGATGATATTATGTCTAGTGGTCTATACAGGGTGCTCATTAATACGTGTCAGCACTATCAGTTATCGTTGATGATATAGTCTCCAATTTGGATAACAACCTGGTAACAGATCTTGTCCCTCTCGATTTTAGAAAGGCATTCGACACAAAAAGCCATGATCTACTTCTAGCCAAGTGAACTTGTCTTGGATTTGATAAACTGACACAATGCTTCCTAGTGTCATATCTCAAAGACACACAGCAACAGGTGGTTCTGAGCATAAGTATTTCAAACATACAGAATGTTTCTTCAAGGGTACCACAAGGCAGTGCTAAAGCCCCTCTTGTTTTTAATAAATATATATATATATATATATATATACAGGGTGTCCGCAAAGTTGGGGTTTTCCTTTCCAGAAACAACTACCCTTGAAATAACAAAGGTAATGTGTAGTGAAACGAGGGCGACCAAGTAAAACAAAGGAAAAAGTACTCACTCTCCAATTGACGAGAAGGGCTAAGTACGTCTCTGCCCGAAATCATACCGCTCCAACAGAAAATGAAATCAGCTGATGCGCTACCGAGCAGACGCAGAAACCACATTGATTGTCTTACATGGCACATCTTCTAACAAGGAAGGCAAAATGGTGTGTAAAAAGTCTAGGTATTGCATCCCGTCCAATCGATTTGGGAGAATAAATGGTCCAATGAGCATACCGGCCCAAACATTCACCGAAAATGTTTGTTGAAAATGTGCCCGACGGACAGCGTGCGGATTTTCTACTGACCAAACATGAGTTGCGAAAGTTATTCACCCCATTACGCGTGTCTGTCACCAATATGCACTTCAAAAAGTCCGGATTATTGTCATGTTGATGCAACAACCAGTCACAAAACCGCACTCTTGCTGGAAAATCGTCAGGTTGAAGGACTTGTACACGTTGGACGTGAAACGGATACAGCCCTTCTTCACGCAGCGTTCGCCACACTTTAGTTTTTGATACTTGCACTTCTCTAGCCACGTCTGTAGTGTTTGTTGAGGGATTCTCGTCTACGCGATTACCTCTACACGCGTGACCGTAACTGTCGGTTGAAGGTTGCATACTGACCTGACACACTGACCCCGACCCAGTTCTGCCGTTGGGTTGAGACCTTGTACCACTGGGTGATGTCCCGGGTCGCGGCTACAGGACGGTATTCAGATATTTTTGATGTTGCAGATCCCTTTATCTCGGTTCCCTTAAGACATTGGTGTATATGGTACTAAGAAAAATTGCTTATGTTTTCAAGATCTACACGTCGTGTAAAGGAAAACCCCAACTTTGCGGACACCCTGTATATATGTATATATATATATATATATATATACATTGGATTGAAAACTCGAGTGGAGCCTCCTATGGCTGCAGCTTAAATTAATATTGATCTCGAAGGTATTCATAACTATTCTGCTGTTGATAAGACGAAATTCAATCCTCAAAAATCAAAGGTATTTTTTTGCAGGAAAGGAGATGTTTAAAAGCATGCCGGAACCTGAAAATAGGAGCCACAGATTAAAAATTCAATGATGTATGTTTGTATGTATGTAAAAATTTTGGACTACTCATAGACGAAGATCTGACGTTTTTGCATGCAAGTTAACAGCGTCATCAAAAAATTCTATTTCAGGCCGAAGCTGTTATATACCAACCGGCACTCCCCCAGTTTTAAAACGAATAAGCAATAATGCGAGTCATTAATCACTTCCAAAATTTCATGTGGAATCATGACATATTCGAATGTTTCCCTACAAATCACAGAAAATTCAAATTTCTTGTTGCTGGTTAACAAGTAACCCTAGGAAATATGATCATGAAGCTGGCTTAATCAAAGATTTAGGCTGACTCACACTTCATAACTTATTAAAGTATTTATTTTTGTCATTAGGAAATTTTATCATAATCAGTCTTTCATCACTACGTTTATGGAATAAGCTAACATTTAGAACAAGTATTCATGATTTAAATTTAAGGTACACGAGCACATCCTCTTGGTCTTCTGTTGATCAGTTCACCACGCCTGCAAAGTGACTCAACCTAACGAAAGATGGTGTTTCGAGAGGGAACAGCTCTATTCCGATTAATGTTGAAGTTGCGACGAAACTCACGCTGTACGACGATGACTGACTCATTATTTCGGACGAAACAATCATAGGCGAAAACGCGGTGCTTCACCGTCCAAGGCTCCATAACGACAACTGGTGAACTGGTAAAATAATGCTAGGATCTCACGAGTCAAACGGCGCCCTCCCCACCTCTCTCGTAGACGGAGGTGGAGAGTACTACCCATCCCAAAAACGTCCGTCCTCTCTGCCGCACCCTGTATTATAATGTATTAGAAACCAATATTAGAAATACAGCAAATCATCATAAATTTCACTGTTAAAACAATAACACAGAAATGTTTGTTGCACTTAATCATGGTTGAATATATTCTATGTACATAGTATTACTGAAATTTTAGATGCATATGATACTTTATCACGTATACAGTGACAAACATTTTATAGTTTATATTATCATATACAGTTTATTTATTATATTTCAAAATATTGGTAGAGTAAATTGGCCAATGACTAGACAAGGCCATTTGCATCATACTTTTTAGTATTACATTGTGATGTTAATGATGCAATGAATACAGTGACCGGACAAAGATTTCTCAAGGGAGGCGATAAATGTGTAAAGACAACCAGTGGCGTAAAAATAATTTTCTTTTTTCTTCTGCAGGAGGCAACATTGCCTAATGTCTTTGCCGCTGACCTAACCGCAACAAATATACATTTTTCAATTTAATACACTCAGGTTCAAAATAAACGCAACAAGCACAATCTTGGTCAAAGTCGTAACGTCATAACTTTCTTATTTTTCACCCGATTTTCTTGATTACTTCGGCAAGAGGTAGATACGCTCAGTGGCTTTATTGAGTAAATTTCAGTTGTTAGTCCTGATCGTACAGCTGTCCAGTGATCGTGTCCAAGATCCCGTCACACAATTTTCGTTCTTTCTGCTAGGCTATATAGACAGAATTCTCACGGCCGGATCCCAGACACAGTCACCGACAAGTCACCGATCACTGTACGAACAAACTTGTTGATTCTAGTCACTATTTGACTTGTTGTACAGGATAAATCAAAATGTTTCTCTGTGGTGTGACTCCACTACAATGGTTGAAGTTTTAGAAGCAAATGAAGATTTTAGCACCAATTTTGATCCCTTCTTTCATAACTTTTTTAATTCCCATACGAAGTCAAAAAGTTATGCAGCTGACACTCCAGGAAGGTGATAGGGTAGCGGTAGATCCTATTGTCCTCTTCTGGTCGCGTTTATCTAAACGTCATGTTACAAGTTGGTTATCCATCACCTTTAATGTGCAATTAGAAAATGAACCGCTCTGTATAATACGAAATATGCCTAAAACATAGTCCCTCACATACACATACAATGAAGGAAATATTATCTAGCAGCAATATTCCAAAAGAGGACAAATAGAAGGCGCCTCTCTGAAGGGTAAACTACTGATTAAGATTTGTAAACCGTTGTCTTGCATTCATTTTGTTCCAAAAGAACGATCCTCTCTAGAATTTTCAGGAACATAAAATTGGAGGATAAGCGAGATATAACTATTACCCTGACACTGTAGTTCAAAAGGGTAGCACGAAATTATTATACAGCGTGTTCTTAATTAAGTTAAAAGCTTCCATTTTCTTCGCCACTGTATATAAACGGTATCAATAGCGGTCAATTCCTGTACAATCTGGTGAAAAACTTTTTGCATTCGTACGTGAATTGAAAAAGCCAAGAAAGGAGGAAAGACAATTGGTGGTGAAACTTCAACCACTGTATATATTGACGTGAGTATATTGAAATTAAATCTTTGAAAAAAAATCAAAAATTAATTATATATTTTGTATAACAGGCACAACTCAAAAAACATTATTATGATATAGAAGTATGATTGTCAGTTGTCACTTCTATTACTTTTCATTTTACCACCATCATAAACCCGTTAGGACCCTCATGTGTCTTAACTCAACTTGCAAAATTATTATTAATTTAATTGGAAAAATTAAACACATTAGGCATAATGAACAACAACAACTGACAATATAGACACAACATTAAAACCAACGAAATGATTACACCCCCTTTCACTTAGTATGCATGCTTCCGCCCTGCTCATGGAATTGCGCAATCGTTGAAATATCCTAGGAGTGTTTTTTATTCTATCACAAGCTGCAACTATTCTTTCTCTTAATTCCTCTACAGTGTTAATGGGACTTGTGTACACTAGTGTCTTAAGATAGCCCCACAAAATGAAATCTAAACTGTTGAGGACTGGCGACCTTGGTAGCCATTCTTGGGGCCCACCGCGGCCAATCCAACGATTTTGATAAACAGTTTGTAATCCTGTATACACAATGTGGTCTATAAATGGTATGGTATACTAGAGATATTATCAAGTAATATCAACACTACGTGGAACTTCAAGTACCGAAAACTACTTAGCTTGACATCATGTTGCTAATATCTAATACTTGACTTGAATTTGAATTGATCTTAAGTCAAGTAGCTTGAAAATCAAGTCAGGTAGTGAATCCCTAGCTACAATAACTGCACTACTGTTCAATATCCTGCATGTGGTGGCATGTATTCCATTACGGCTAAACGGTTGGCAATCATGACCGGTCTGCTTCACACGCGGCAATTTAGTTATTTACAAGAGTAATTGGGTAAGTACGTCCAATCACACAGACGACTTATTGATTCCGCTATCGGTTAGTGTACACGGATTTTCACCAATCGCAAATTGATGGGAAATCGACAATTTTTTGGGCGAACGGTCATTTTTTGGGCAGCTGGCCAAAATATATCATATTCTGTGACTTATAAGGGACTTTCCGTGATATCTCCTAAATGCATTTTAGGTTCCGTAAATTCAATGTTGCACCAAATAACAATCGGCTACTTGACGCATATCTAATTTCATAGAATAAACGAGTATTTCTTACAGTAGTTGTCTAAGGAAAACAGATTATACTAAGTGACATATAAATCCGAACACCCAGTTTAAATGGTTTTATTTTAATAAAATTTTGTATAAGTACTTAATGAAGCATAATAAGTAAATGATAAAAATTTCAAAATGATTGCACTGCTTTAAAGCCCTTTGACCTTTAATAATGTGTGGATGTACCCTGATGTGCTACGCATTCTCCAACGCGCCTAGGCATGCTTCTGATCAGGTGGTCAATGTCCTCCTGTGATATCTCATTCCAGGCAACCACCAACTCCTCTCGAAGTGCTTCTAGAGTCTGAGGAGGACGTTGAAAATTGAGCAATCTCCTACCCATCATATCCCACATAGATGCGGAGCCGGTGGGGGGAGATAGTATAAGCCAATCTGAGTCGATTTTATTATAGGAACTAGTGTCCGAAAATTAGCTGTTTTCGAATTATACTAATTTTTAAGATTATATAAAATTATCGTCCTTTATACGTTAACCAAGACATAAAACTTGAAAATTGGGTATTTCATTTGTTTTTTTTTGTGGTTTTACAATAAAAATATTCTAAAATATGAAAATTGATACTCAAATGTACATTATTGACGTTATCTCATGCAGTCAGCTTCAAAATAGTTCGATTTTTGTTAAAAAAATCTTCGTTCTTCTCAAAAGCTTCAGTTTACTAGAAAATGCTGCATACCAATTTTTCGTGCAAAATGTACTAAGTGACATATAAATCCGAACACCCAGTTTAAATTGTTTTATTTTAATAAAATTTTGTATAAGTACTTATGAAGCATAATAAGTAAATGATAAAAATTTCAAAATGATTGCGTGGCTTTAAAGCCCTTTGACCTTTAATAATGTGTGGATGCACCCTGATGTGCTACGTATTCTCCAACGCGCCTAGGCATGCTTCTGATCAGGTGGTCAATGTCCTCCTGTGGTATCTCATTCCAGGCAACCATCAACTCCTGTCGAAGTGCTTCTAGAGTCTGAGCAGGACGTTGCAAATTGAGCAATCTCCTACCCATCATATCCCACACGTGCTCAATTGGGGATAAGTCGGGAGATCTTGGTGGCCATGGTAACAATGTGACATCATTATGTTGAAAGAAGTCTATTGTGACTCTTGCAACATGTGGTCGGGCATTATCTTGTTGGAAAGTTGGATCTGCCAGGGTGTCAAGATAGAGTAAAAGATGGGGTTCTAGAACTTCGTGGATATAACGCTGCGCGTTCATGTTACCTCTGATCAAGATTAAAGGTGACCTGGAGCCATAAGCTATAGCACCCCAAACCATAACTCCAACAGTGTGATGAACATGTCTTTCAACAAAAAACTTTCACCACGTCGCCTTCTAACCCTGGCACGACCATCGTGCATGCCTAAACAAAATCGAGACTTGTCACTAAAGACAATACTGTTCCATTCCTGATCCCAGAGTGACCATAGTCTGCACCACTCAAGGCGATTACGTCGGTGTTCTCGAGTTAAAGGGAGGACCCAGTGTGGCTGGTATGAAAACAAGCCAAAACTTCTCATTCGTCGGTAAACACTTTGCATGCCAATAGGTCTTCCGTATTCTGCAAACCATTCATTTGCAATGGACCTGGTAGTGGAGAAACGGTCCCTTAAGGCCAATAATCTTAGGCGGCGATCTTCACGGTCTATTGTTCTACGGCGGCGTCCAGTGCCTCTTGGCATCGTAACCGATCGTAAAGGATGTCAAGAACCAAAATCCGCCAACGTTGATTCTTTACTGCGGCTGAAATATTCATTTTAGAGCGTTAGTGAATTAAAAAAAAGCAGTATAGAAACCGGAATGTCCAATTGATAAGGCTGAAAATTTTTTCACTTGTTATTTACAGTAAGACAAATACAGTCACCAACTTTTATTAAAATAAAACCATTTAAACTTGGTGTTCGGATTTATATGTCACTTAGTATATATCGAATTTAATTTTTAAAAGCGCAAGATGGATATATAGGTCCAATTTGAAAAGGCATATTTTTCATTTTATACTGAACGGTGAAAACACTATCGGCCATGATGTGACGTCTTACAAATTGTTAACAAAAAAACATCATCAATATTTCTACAGAAACTTTCTCGTTTTATTTGAAAAAAACGTTCATTGACATTAGATTCGCTAAAGCAGAAAGTTCAAATTTGCTAGAAATTGACACATTGATGGTTGGTAATTTTCTTTAATATCAGCTCAGATTTCTGCTCTACTGAGTTGATGAAC